TTGCCGCCAGCGGTCTCGCCTTCCATTCGTCATCAAAGTACGTAGCGTCACCATCTATTGTGGAAATATAACACAGCTGCATGGAATTCATAATCTTCAGGAAGTTGTTGAGTGGGAGAAAGATGGAGCGTTCGTCATCCACTTTGTACTTGGCACGTAGCTTGGACGTCCACCGTGAGTCCTTGCTGTTCAAGGGGCCGGTATAGCGGAACTCCTCATCCTCAAAGGGGTTGTGTAGGTGGATGACAATGTCCTCCACTGACGACGTGCCTGTCATCGAAAAGATCTCAAGGACACCGTAGTGCTGCTCGCTCTGAATGCCCATATTCTCACCCTCCATATCCCTCGTCAATACAGAGGCCACAAACTGTCCAGACTGGATCTTCTGCGCCAGGTCCAGCCAGTAGTGGCCCTCCATTACGTCAGCCCCAGCGGCCTTGGCGACCTGCGCGTCAATGGGAATGTTGAGCACGGGGTTGCCAGTCAGGTCGTAGTACGCCTCCTGCAGGGTGCAGCCCTCAAGATTATCGTAGCTGGTGTAGAATTTCGCGTATGCCTTTTCCAGGAGCAGGGGCCACCAGTGTCGGGTGGGCGAACGAATGTAAAGCTCTCCGTCATTCTCGAGGGGGATGTAGTCATCAATCTCCACCTTTTCCCACTCCTTGCCGCGAAAAAACTTGAACGTGTAACGCCCATCCCGTCGAACGTGATTGGAGACAAAGCAGTTCTGGATGACGCTGGGGAAACGCACCAGGGTGGACAGGGTGGTAAGCATAAAGCATTCATAGTGATTGCCCTGCCCAAACTGCTCACGGGATAATGCCCGTGGAAGAAGAGGCTCGTGGATGCCGTCGGGGTACAGTTCGGCAATCCGAATCCATTTGTTAGAGATGTGCTTGTTTTTGTCCATAAAAGCGGTGTCCCTAAACACCTTGTCGCTGTCGGGGAGTTCAGCCATAACCGCAGCCGTCATTTGCTGCAAAAGGTGCCTATCTAGCAGAACTAAAAAACAAACCAAAAAAGACTATGATGGAACAGTTTAAATATTTTTGTTCCCTACTCCCTTTCTTTAAACCTCCACGGTAGAGGGTAATAATTAGTGTTCGCGGAATACAATGGAAAATAAATAAAACAAAAAGCGTAAAAAATGAAGGTTGATGATAGGAAATAAAACAAATAAATACAGCTGGAGCTGCGTCAACAGGAAAGGGGCGATCACGTGTGCAGGAGTCAATGCTGTTGACACGCATGGAAGACCTTTATGGACGTTGTTTAAAGGTTGCGGAACCTTATTCTTCGTTTGTTATGAGGGTCATAGAACTCATATTAAGAAAGCACTTAGACGAAGGTGATAGGCGGGCTAATAGGGGAGTTCCGAAGAAGAGGACGAATGCGTGGGACTTCCATTGAGGCTAATTTTCGGCAGATCCTCTAGGCGAACAATTCCCGTCTTTAAGCCCTCAGCAACCGCTTCCGGAATATTAGCAGGACTCAAGAGCTCCGGTGATGGTGTGGTTGCCCCCGCTGGTGTATTTGGCGTGTTAGCAGGTGACACGTTCCGGCGGCGCCTTCGCTGCAGTGCAATTATCTCAGGTGAACTTGGTGACGGGCGTGGGCAAACGGGGAAGCGGCGCGGCTGTACTTGAAGATGCACGGGCACCAAATACACCCGGTCGTTGTTGCGTAGCAACGAGAAGCCACCCTCCTCCCACTCCACAAAGTGCTGCTGCAACGGCGCCGAGTTGCCACCGTCGGAGTGCGGACACTGATGTATGGCGATTGCAAGCTTCACCTCGTTTGGCTCAAGGTGCCCCTCAACGTTAGCACTCAGTGAGGGCCCACTTCGGATACGCACACTGCGCTCCTCACGTACGGAAGTGTAGTACGTTGGTTCCTTCAGCCGCTCCACACACCCCTGATCCGGCAACGACGCCCTTGTTGTGTCCATCACTTCCACCAGGAGTGTGAGACCGCTGCTGGAGACAATTTTCGACCAGCCCCATATCCACTTGTTAGGTTCGATGCACTGCAGCTGATACGCCTCTGCCACAGTAGCCGCCTCAGATGTGCCAGAAAGAACCAACAAGGCGTACTCCTCTTTAGTGTATGAATCCATCTGACGGCCAATAGCCTCAACAAAACTTCCAAATGGAATCTCACCCACAATGTCTGCAAACCGATGCGGGAACTTGCGAACGCGAACGCGCTTCTCGTTATTCGCTGGAGTGTAAACCCTATGATACGTGATTAATTCGCGCCGCAACCCCAACGTCCTGTCACGCCACAAAACATAATTTCCACACGACGAGACAGCAGAAGCCTCCCGGACATCCCCAGTGATCATCCGCCTCCTTTGTAATTCCGCACGATGACGCTTCCTGGCTTGCTTTTCAAGGGGCATAAAAGGCACTGTGGCTTCACGAATATGCCTCTGCAACTCAAACCAACGAAAGCAAAGTAACGGTCGCCATATTGTCTTTTGAACTTCCCACCCCTCCATTACCCCGATGAGTGTGATGGTGACATTGTACATAGAATCCAATGCAAGCTGCAGTGAAGTCTTTGTTTCCGCTTCCGGAATAACATCGTCATCACCATTTGCGGTGTGTAAGGGTGAGTGCGCACTAAACCCTGGGAATGTGTCTGGTGTTTCAGAGAGCCGTGTTAGACACACGTAAACAACGGCCTTCTCACCAATTTCCCACCTGAGAGGTGGTGTCGTTGCAGCCCCATCCGACCCTACAGAAAAGGATGCCATCACACATGGCGGGTGGTCGCAAAACACGTGATCACCAACAGTAATCGTCGGCACACATCTTGCCCACAAAAGATATTTATTGTTCGACGCCTCTGCTGCTTCTTCTCCCACCTTTTTATTTTCCTCCTTCGCCTTCGGGGTGAGCTCAAGATGAATGGATCCAACCGTGATGGGTTTCTCGGCGCGAAAGCTGAAATGGGCAGAGTGCTCAACGAGAAGCCAAAATCCACAACGTCCGTCCATACCACATTCTTTCAGTGTCGTTGTGCAGCGGGGGTAGAGGAGGTTGTAAAGAAAAAAGGAAAAGAAAAAAAACATTAATTAAAGGCATTTGTTCGCAGTTCGTTTACCACAAACACAAACATACACAGACACGTGAAAACGGAGCACTCCTCCATTGCAGACTCTCAAAAAGAACATCAACTGAATATTAATCATACATGCACACAGATGGAGATGGAAACAAGTGATCTGCCCATCTTCCCCATTATATCAACATCACCCTCTTTCTCTCTCTCGTTCTCTGATGCATGGAATCGTTTGCATAGTTTTTCGTTTTTGCTTTTGTTTTTGCTATGGATCCATTCCTTCCTTATTGCTTATCTTTATTTTTCTGTTTCTTCCTTTTTTCCAATTTGCTCTTTGATTCAGTAGATACTGTTACTGTGGGCCTCCTCACTCACAGTACAGCTCATCGAAGTCGTTGCTTGTAGCAGAAGCACAGAAGGGGGGAGGGGGAGCACAAGTTTAGAAAACATCTGCCAATAAGTAAAGTTTTAATAAGGTTGGTGCAAAGCATGTATGTAACGCAATCAGGGTAACGGAAGAAACCAGTGTAATCTCACATGACCATTAGGCTCCCAAAAGTCTCCAATGAAGTAAGTAACTCCAACTCGAGAGTCTATTTACGAATTATGGCCAATATCCACATGTGTTGCCACACGCGTTGCTGTCCAACGACCCCCGGGTTGCACCTGCAGTGCGTGGGTGTGGTGCATTATCACCTCCTCACGGTGTGTCACGGAGACCATGCGAACATTGAGTCTGCGAAGGTTGCGTAAAACCTCCTGCTCTGTCTCATCCATCATGGACGTTGACTCATCCAGAAGAGCCACAGGGGTTTCCTGGCTGCGATCCATCGTCAGCACCCTATAGAACACGCGTGCCATGCTGATGCGTTGCTTTTGCCCACCACTGAGGGAGTCCCAATCGTACGTTTCATCGGCCGTCCTCGGATCCAGCCCGATGTAAGAGCTTTCGAGGCCGCCGAGGAGCTCAATCACGGAGCGTGCTCCGGAAAGCCGAAGAGCCTCTTTAAAAGCCACCAACTCCTTTGCACTCACCGTAGACTCAATTCTTGGAAAACGCACTTGCTCAAGCAAAGTACATTGTGGCACCATGTAACTGTACTGGGGGGCAAAGAGAAGCCTCACACTTTGCTCCATTGAGTACTTTCCTGCAGTGGGTGGCCAAAGCCCAGAAATCATACGAAGCAGGGACGTCTTGCCACAACCATTTTCTCCCAACAGAACCCAGTCCTGGTCACTCCGTATTTCAAGGTCGAGGTCGTTATAGAGTGGGCGTCCCACTGGTGTTGTGAGTTTTACATGGTTAAAAGAAAAAAGGGTAAACTCCTTCACTCCCACCGGGCGGACAATGTAATTGACACCTGTGTAATCCGTAGGAGACTGGGGACCAGAACCAGATTCTGATGAAGCATTTCTAGAACGCACAAAGCATCCCTGTGCAATGCTCGTCAGGGTCGTGTCAAACTCCGCCAATTTCGTCGTAAATGTTGACAAGTGTGAAATCTCACGGAAATTCACCACAAAACTCTTTACGTTTTCAATTAAATCCTGCATGTATTGCATCGTCACATAGACATCACTCATTTCTTTCATTTTCTTCTGCTGGACACCACGGAATATGACAACGCCAGAAATGGCCTGCAAAAAAGAAGAGAAGGAAATCTCCAACAGCTCGAAGTGCCCCTTTGCGAGAGCAAATTGGTCCAGTGCGCGCTTCAATTTTCCGAGTTGCTTATCAAGCTGTCGCCGGGTGTAGCGACCACCGTTGTGCAGTGCAATAGGCTCCACATTATTCAAACTGGTTGTCAGCATGCGACGGTAACTGTCCTCCCTGGAAAGTAGCAGAGCGTGGATACGGCCAAACGCGGGCGAGAGCTGCTGCAGCACCAAAACAGAAATCGCGACAACAACAGACGCCATCGCCGCTGCTTTTCCGCCAACCTGACGAGTTAGCGCCACCATAGAGGCTGCGCACTCAAAGAAAGGAAGGATAAAATAGTACGGCAGCTCAGCAAAGTGTTCAGCAAACTCTGCAGAGTACGTCGCAATAGCCGTGTCGGCCGCCTCAAGCCGCGTGTCCAATACATTCGCCTGGTAGTATATAAGGCGACTGTAGAAGCGCCGTTGAAATAGGTGGCTGAGGCGCTCACGGAAGCAGGCGACAAGCCACGGTCGCAGGTGTTCCACAGAACTGCTACAGACCGCGCACATCATCGACACCGCCGCACGCAGGAGCAGTGCATTAAAAAACCTTTTCACCTGGTCCTCTGCAGTGCCACCGACAATGGCCTGCAAAAGGTGCCCATTGGCGTTAAATTGTGCAACATGCAGAATGGACTTCAGCAAGAAGAGCGTTACAAACACAAGGGTACCAAAAAATTCCTTGCACCACACCGTAGGCAACGCAAGTCTCGCGACGTGAAAAAAATCCTTCAAAAATAAGCGTGTGACTTGCGTATCGTCTGGTGTGCGGATGTCAACGATGGCCGCATCATACTGGTGCAGCTTCGCACGCTGAACCAGGACACAGATCAGGAAGGCCAGCGTTCCGCTGACAACAATGCCTCGGTCACGCAAGGCCTTTACCACTTCAAAGCCTAACATTTTATTTAATCTCGTCTCCGCCCAGAGTATCGTACGCAGAGGGGTGGGAGGAGGGTTCGACGAGAACAAGCAACCACAAACGTTGTTAGAAAGACTAAAAGTGAAGGAAAAAAACAAAAAACAAAAAAAAGATTAAAGTCAATTTATGAGAAAACGTGTACATGCATGTAGCGCATTAAAAAGGAAAAAACAAGTGAAATTTTTTTCTAAAAAAAAAGAGGAAATGGACGCATGGTTTGGAGGCAGCTGACACCATGCACGCAATGGAAAGAAAGGAATAATACATGAAGCATCAACTAAGCGGTGACACAAAAACAAATGGGGCAAGCTCTACTCAGTCCACGCTCTTTCTGAGTGTTCTGCCGCGGTCTCAGAGTGTCACAGGAGAGTTTGCTTCAAACACACACACATACACATACACACAAAACGGTACATTCTTCCGCTCTTTCCTTTCTTCATTTCCTCCCCCCTGTATCCGTCACTCACTCTATTGCAGTTACCCCCTCTCCCTGCAGCGCGAAGAGTAGTGTATTGTAGAGAGATAAAGAGAGGACAGGGAGATCAAAATAACCAGGAAGAAGGGATACGGAAACAATAATCAGAGTAAAACTCAAAGACAACCACCAAAATTCAAATAACACGGCTAATCATCAGAACCATCACAATAAAAAAAAAAAAAAAACTAAGTGGAAAAGTCATTCAAGCTTTGTTTCATTCGTTCCCAAAAGAATTTCTGTCGCATGCTACACAACCATGACGTTCACCACTGTCTACGGCAAGTTGAAAAAACCCACATCCTTTAACTCATGGCGTGGAACGAATAACGCCTCCCAACCGCCGCCATGTGAATCAGCCAACGAAACAAATTCGCTGTCTCTAGCTTCAATAAGGGGGAGCCCACTTCCTCCAGAGAAGGTAAAACTATTGCCTTCACCCTGCTGTGTACTACTCCCACTACTATTCAGCTTCCCACTTGCAGTGTCTGAGAAAAGAAGTGACGGAGTGTGCTCCATGACTAGTGGCAGCTGCTGCAGCTCCTCCTTCTGCATTCGCTGCGGCAATGACTGTTGCTCTTGTCGCAGGCGTCCAACAGGGATGCTCTTTATCGCAGTCCCCTTATTCCGCACAGTGGAGCTTTTTGCGGCGGCTGGTCGCGCAGTGTTCGAGAAGGCTGTCCAGTTGGGTCCATAGCGCTTCTTTGAGACGGAGCGGGAGGCGGCGCGCTTTTTTGTATCCAATTCAACAGAAGGACACGGCAAGCGCCCGTCGTGCACGGCTTCTAAGCGTCGCAAATTCTCCTGATGCGCCACCGCCTCCTCCATTTCGTGGAGGTCCCTCAGGCTGATGGGGGACGAGTCCAGCATGGATCCGTGGATAAAAGGAACGGCGCGTCTTTCGTAATGGGCCGAGATGGATCTCACTAGCCCCGCGTAGTGCGCTAACAGCTGTGCGACCTCCGCCAACAGATGCAGCTCGCCGACGCCGCCCACCTCCGGTATCTTTCGCCCTCCCTCGTCTGCTGGTGCCTCGTCACTCACGCGCTGCGACGCCAAAGATTCCAGTACACTCGAATTCGTGAAACTTACCGCAATGTAGCGCCAGCACGGCGCCTTTCGCGAGTGCATCTCATGGCTCACACAAAGGCCCAATTTGAAATCTACAAGCTGGTGTCCAATGGCCTCGTACTGAAACTTGTATTCCATAATGAGATCAAACAAGCTACTGAACACCACTGGCTTGTCCATGAGAGTCAATTTTCGACTAAGGCCCAGCGCCCCGTACAGGCCGTCGCATCGAATGACAAGGACAATGTGATGGTACGTTCTCCTTTTTGCGCGAGACTTGAAGGAAAGCGGGATGCGGTCCACGCCCTTCATACCATGTGTGAGGTAGAGACCCACAAAGGTGGCCTCCAGACAACGGATTGGAAGCGCCTCTGAGAGTATCTCTTTGGAGGTAATCATTATACTGTCCAGTGAGCGGTGCTTCTCCAAGCAGAAAAAAGTCCGTGGAAGAAAATTGTAGGAGAGCGTATTGAGAACATTCTGCACGTAAGGTAGCTGCTGCAGTGACGGCAGCTGGCGCGGAATAGAAAATTCCTCGGGGCGAGGAACCTCGGGCAGATCCTTCGCGTTTGCGTACGGGTTGATGGCGGCGAGATGTTCCACGACTGCTCGTACCTTGTCCAGCGACATCACGACGGCGAGGGAAGAGAGAAGAAAGATGGGGACAGGGAGAGAGCCTGCCCGACGCACTGAGGCCCTTCTCTACAGAAGAAAAAGCGGGGGGAAAAAAAGAAAAAAGAAATGGAAAAAAAACGGGGAACAGAAATATATATATATATATATATATATTTATACATTTATAAAGAGGCAACAGAAAAGCAGTTAGCAACACATATACATATAATATGTATGTATTTCTTCGCCTTTTACTCTCTTCCTTCATTGTTGCTGCCTGTACAACAGACAGTTAGTGGAAAACCCAACATATGATACTCATTCTACCATGTGGGATAGACAGTGTATAGACAGATAAATATAAAATGAACCTTGCGTATGCGTGTGTTTTCCCTGCTCCTGCCTCATCCAGATTGTTACACGATTGAAACTTTTACCCAATAACAACAAAAAAAAATACGTTCACGTGTTAGATGTACCACTCAAGCTTGTCTGCGTCATGCTCCTTCTTGCGGAACCACTCGTACTCCCCAAACTGGGTGTCAAAGGTGCCTGACTGCAGAGATAGCAGTCGCAGCGTAAACCGAGGCCCCATCTCCTGGATGCGTACAGCTTCAAGACTATCAAATATGTAGCGGTGCGTGCGCATAAAAATATAATCACGCTGGTTGTGAAATGTCGCTACCGCGCGCCCGGCGTAGTCCCGTGTAGCGGGGAAGAGGCATTCCAACATGCGGTGAATGCGACGACCGAGGCGCGTGTCAAAGTTCTTGAAGATAAGCTCGGGGTAGTGCTCCGTGCGCGGGGCAGGATCTTTCAACTGCGCATGCGTCATGAAGTTTGACACGCGAAACGCCGCCGTGGGCCCCTCTGGGAGGTGCGAGACGATGAGATTGTGCGGTTCCTTCAGTCGATCCGTGATGACGACGAGGTCAGTGAACTCTCGATTGATGCAAAACTGCGTAATCTCCTTCAGGGTGTAGTCCTTGCGGGGGCGGTAGGTAGAGTTTGGAAACAGCCACAGCGCCTCCTTCACAAACTGCTTGGTGCGGAAGCACGGACGCTCGCCAGTCGTGATAAGAATGGCGGGTTTTCGTCCCTCCTGGTAGAAGGCGGCAAACTCGTCGTCCGCCTCATCACGCACGATCTCAGCATCGTTCTTGTTCTCAACTATTGTGACATCCGGGCGACGCAGGCGTTCCTTCGTCTTTGGAATCGCCTTCGCCGGGGCATTTTCATGCAACTGCCTTCGCTCCTTCTCCCGCGCCTCGCGCCGGACCCGCTTGGCGTCCTTTGTTTGTTCCCGCAGCTTCTCAAAAAGTTGGCTCTTCTTCACGGGTTGTCTGGTGTTGCGGTACAACTCGACAAGGGTGGGGTCCACCTCTGCGGCCCGGTGCTGCGGTGCGTGCTGCCTCTTCACCGGGCCGCGAAGGCTGCGCTTCGACCGCGCGCCCTTTCCCATTGCCTACGCTCTCCCCGCTTCTCTGCCTGCCTTCGCCTCCGCGATCTCGTTACTACTACTGTGCGCCGACCCAGCGCAAATAAACGCGTGGGGGAGCAAAAACAAAAAAAACAAAAAAAACGAAAAGAGAAGAGCAACACACAGAAACCCGACTTCAACGTGGAAAGGGAACGCAATACAGTAGCGGCTGATGCACACCTCAAACGACGCCACCGCCGAAGGAGGTAAAGGAAGAAAAGGTGATGACAGTGCTGCGCCGACAACGGGGGCAGAGAGAGCGTGCAAAGGACTACAAAAACAGCAGCACACAAACACGACGTGGTGTGCGTCACTCCCTCAAGTAATATTTACTCCCTCTGTACTCAGCATTACGCTTTAACGAATCTTTCAGAAGAGCCTCAAAGTTCGCTAGGCGTCGAAACCTCGCCATGTTTCCGTGCGCGCTCAGGACTGCTTTCTTCATGGGTTCCAGAGAAAGGGTCTTAAACACCGCCTCATCCAAAGCACGGCGAAGCTGTTCCCCGGTAAGTGTCGCAGAGGCCATCGTAGCCGCCGTCGCCGTCGTGGTCTGGTCGCCGGGCGAAGGCGCAGCAGCAGGCGCGGAGCCCTCACGCGAAAATAGTAGTTCTGACAACGCCCCGCGAACGCCGGAGTTCTCGGGAAATGCACCCACCACCCGTGGGCCATGCAGAAGAGCAAAGGGATTGTACCGCACCACAACGCGCGTCAGTTGTACCGCCGAAGTGAGTGGCGTGTTCCCCGCTATCTCATGCGCGGTTGCAAGCGGACTCAAAAAACGCAAACGTAGCGCATCCTCCAATGTCTCTCTCTCCGTTATGTGTAGTAGGAGGCCAGCCTCCTCGCATGCGTCGTAGCGGTGACCTGTCGTTCGCTCAAAGGCAGCCTTAAGCTCCAACTGATCGCCTGCACCAACGCCCTGGCAAGGAGCACGCGTAATGGCATACACCTCAGTTCGCTGCAAAACAGTCACATAAATACCAACGCGCAGGCGGACACGACGCCCCTTCTCCGCCGCCTCGCACATGGTTCTTGCCAAATGTCCCGGTGTTACACCAAACTGCAACAACGCTTCTGGTACGCTGCAGAAAAGACCGAGACCAAACTCGTCTCTTCGACGACGGTGTGCAGCCAACACGGCTTTCCAGGCATCCCCAGAGTCTGCAGCACCGCCCAAGCACGGCTGCTGCATAACCCGCAAACACTCTTCTCGCACACGTGTCGTTAGCGGGAGACGCACAGCTTCGTCAGGAGTAAAGAACTGTGTTTTAAGCTCCAACACCCACACACAGCTTCCAAGACGCCTCCCTGCGCCTCCATCTAACAATGCATGCATCTTATCCCCAACCACACAGCCGTCAGCCCTTGTCGTACCAAACGCCATAATCGGCCCCGCAAGAGGCTCTTCCTTTAAGGCATGGAGGCCTGGATACATCAGCTCCATTGAAATGATGTCTAGAGCCTTTTTCAGAGCATTCGCACCTACAAAATCAGGAACCTCGTCCGTTTCCTTCGCGGATCGCACAAGATCCACCATGCTCGATAGCTCTGGGAGCGATGGCCACGTCATCCAGTCATGACTATACAAGTACTGTTGAAGCCGCATATCGTTCCATAGCGTCACCCGTGCCCATTTCAAGTCCGCAAGCATCCGTTCATGAATCTTGCTGCAGGTCGTGTGGGCACGCACCACCTCCTCCCGCTCCGCCTCGTCAAAAACGTGCAGAAAGAAACGCCTCTGTTCGCCCGGTCGCGTCTCCACAACAATTTCAGTTCCACCTTCCAGAACAAGAGACTGGAGCTGCTTTGGCAACAACAGAGGCAACGGCTGCGGCGCCGACATCGCTCCCCTCCCCTTTTCCTCCTTCCACTACCTCGGGCAAGAGCGAGGTCAAAAAAGAAAAAAAAGAAATATCATGTATAGAACAAAACGCATTCTGTAAGCGGCACGCACATAGAAGAATAAATAAACATAAAAACAACCCCCCACCCCCCAAACAAACAATAATAAAAAAGAAAAAGACTAAAAACGTCTTCTGTACAAGGCCTCCCCCATGCAATCATCATTCTACTGAGAGGAAAAAGGAAATAAATGCATGGGAACAAAAATATTCTATCATCTAGATGCAAGACTAAAGCTAGATATATATGAAGGGAGAAAGCCATACAAGTACAACCTCCTGTTTTCCCCCAAAGACCACCACCGCCAGCACTTTCACCCGTTGCTTCTCCCACTACGCCTTCGCTGCTTACCACGTAAACATGCTCCCCTTCTTCGCCTCAGACGTCAATCCCTCAATGGGGTACAAAGTGTTGACGCACTGTCCATCTTTTTTTTTTTTTTATGTGTGTAGGTAAGTACGCATATCTTTATTTCTTACTTTCTTTCATGTTCATGCGTCCCTATCCATTCAACTTTCTATTGCTCGTGTGTGACAAGCTTCTCCGTTTCATCCTTGCTGGCGGGATTTAGTGCATTTTTGTTTTTATCATATACGGCCTCGATGAGCCTGGAGCGTGTCGTTGCGCCAACACGTGTGAACGGAGAAGCAGTCAGGAGGAGGGAGGAAGTGTGGCATGCTCGCTGGAGTCTCTTTAGCCTTGAAAAAACAACACACACACACCAAAAGGAAGCCTGCAGGGTAACGCGGTAGATCGCGTCTTCTACGCACCCACAGACACACATACATTCATGCATGCGCGCACACTCACACCGGGAGGTGTACGGCGGTGTAAAACATAAGAGGTTGGGCGGGTGGACAGTTCAAAAACCCAAAACCCACCCAGCAAAGAAACAAAGACAAAACAACAACAACAACGAAATCAATAATAATAACGCGTCTAACGATCTAAATCCCGCTTGGTGCTTCTAAGTATGTATGTATGTATATGTTTCTTACCGCCGGCAAACAGTGATACAGTCAGAGGGAAAAAAGCGGAGAAAGGGACGAGCAAAAAAAAAAAATGGCGGTGCTACAAAAATGGCACTACAAAAATGAAAATACCCGCTATTGACGCACACATGCGGGTTTGCTGCGCCACGCGTCAAAAAATTTGACGCAGTTTTCCCCCCCCCTTTTTTTTTGGGTTTCGTTTTTCACGGCTGCGTGCGCTCTACTTTCATTAACGACGGCGCGAAATGGAGTCGGGCAGAACAAGTGCCGGTTGCCTCGGCTGCCCGCGCCCCGCTCCTCGCGTACCCGGAAGACCACCCGCAGCCATCACCATCTCCTCAAACTTGGATGGGCTGGGGAAGCTCGCGCCAAAGAACACAGCCATCGGGTCATCGGACGAAAACCCTGATGCCGGTGGCTTCGAGGCCGCCGAAGCAGCGCGGCTACGACGACGTGAAGTGACAGGCTGCGGTAGCGGGGCCTCCGATGCCTCGACGTTATCCAGCAAGCCCTGTCGAGCGGAAGTGAAACTGCGGGGAACCTGCACAGTGGCCGTTGAAGGAGAAACAGACAAAGCAGGAAAATGAGGCGCCGGGGCCGTTCCCGGCGCATACGTCGAAGCTTTGCGATTGCGGCGTGTCGCCTTTGAGGCGGGGCCCCGACCCGGTGGTTTGCGTGAAACATCCACCGCTTGATCAAACACGGAATCATCCTCCGGCTCAGCAGACAGGCACGGGATGGAGCAAGTGGGAACACGCCGCCCCGTTGTGGGACGGCGGAGCAAGACCGGCTGGTCCTCTTCCAGCAGAAGTGAGTCCCCCAACTCTGGCGCAAGGCTTGCGCTGGTAGCATTTCGTTTTCGTGTTGAGGGCTCACGCGCCGCCACATGGCGGGCAGCAGAAGCCAGCTTCTGCTGCCTCAATGTGGTTGATGTGGCAGACGGTGCAGTAACGGAGATGGAAGCGGCCTGGTTGGGGGTTTTCGACACCGGCCCCTTCCGGCTCCGTGCTGCCACTCGTGTCCTAGCCACCGTTTCCTCATCTTTTTCATCTTCTCCTTTCCCCCCCTCAGCGTCGTCCGAGAGCAGTTCGTCAGAGTCAGCGCAGTCCCAGTCAATGACCACCACGCTGCGTTTCCCATGACGACGCCTTGCTTGTTGCTCTATCACGCGCGCGACGATGCGCTCTAGCTTGGCCCGCTTCAGTTTGCTCAAATTTCTTTCCTCCTCCTGATCGTCATCATCGTCTGTGTCGACCTGACCATTTAGCTGAATAGGCTCGGAATGAACGCCCCTTTTCGATGCAGATTGCTGCAGTCGCTTACGTGGGCCCGGTTTTCCCTCCTCTTCCACCTGTGTCACTAACGGCATGGAATGCTTGACAGACGGAGGTAGCCGCCGGTGTTGCTGTGCCATCTCACCCATAACTTCTATCCCGTCATCCGTTTGTTGAATAAGATCGAGCTCCCGCTTTGAGGAATGAAGGCGCGGTCGCGAGGCAGCACCACTTTCCCCACGTTCCGTACTTGCGCACACCGGCGAGAGACACCGCGCATTCGCCGTAGCAAGAAGATATTCTTTGGCCTGTTGCAACGCGTTGATCCTTGACAGTTGCTTGAGCTGCCTTCATTTCGGCCTCCGCGCGCTCCTTTTCCTGCTGCCGCAACTTTTCCTCCACCCGTTTCTCTTCTTCCCCCTCAATCTCCTTCTTCGCCTTGAGAACGTACTCCTCTACAAAACTATCATCATAAAACCCATGCTGCAACTCAGCCTGCCGTCGACGTGCGTTCCGACGCTGTCGGCTATTGGAGCGTGCTCGCTTTGGCATCGGGGATCTCGCGGACACTACCGGTGCATGCGCTGTGGTGTCATGACGCTTGCCCTCGTTACCGGCAGTCGTCCCATCTGTGCTGCTCATGGCTCTTGATGCCGGTTTTAGAATGGCCCGTCTGGAAGGACTTTCCGACAGAGTTCCACCTGGTGTGTTGGTGACCTCAAACACAGTGTAGTGTGGTCGCTCCTCCCGGACTGTTGCCTCCGTCTCGTCGACAAACGTGATACTCCGTCGGCGGTTGGGGTACTTTGGAAGCGGCGAAAGCAGCAGCGGAGACTCATCGCCAAAAATTCCCTTCGAGCTCATTTGTGAGTACGACCGCTGGTTGGTTGAGAGCGACGACATGGGCTGCCGCCAAGGCCTTGGTGAGACTGGGTAGCTTGATACCAGCGTCTCCTCGTTGTGCACTTCGGTCATTTCGTTTTGCCTATTTTTGTCGTTCTTTTTTTTTCCTCGTGCTGTGGTGTGACTTCCGTGGGTTACCACAGGCAGGGTGCGTCTCCCGTTGTGCCACTCCTCCGCGACGCTGCTTCCTGGTGTATGGATGAGTGTGTGTTGGCCTCCACCGCGGATGCTGTGATGGGGTGAGTCTTGTGCACGCCGGCGTTTCTCCCGCCAACCGTCGTTCCCCTCCCACGCACCCCCGTCTGTGTGTGTGTGTGTGTGGGTGATTGTCGCTGGGCACTTCTTCTTGCTTGCCGCTGCCTCCACGCGGGGGCTGCAACAATCTCTACCTTCACCTTACGGAGGAGGGGGGGCGTGACGGAGCAA